CCCATACACAACCTGGCTACGCAGATACGCGATATCAAACGCACCCTTGACACTCTGGAGGCAATTTGCAAGTAACACCATAAACAAACATCCCAGATGCAAAGGTCTAGCATCAGGCGCATGTGTGCAACCCACCCACCCATGTGCAGGTAGCACACACACACATACTGCAGCGAAGACACCCGTGGAGTCCGGGAACTGTTGCTGCTCGGCATGTTGGATTATTGGCACTCCTAGTTCCTCTGGACTGGCTTAGACGTTCCTCATGTTTGTGTTGTGAGATCTCAGATGAACTGTGCTTATTTCGCTCTTCAGGCTGAGCTTTTTCCTTTTCACAACATTTACGCTATCCAAGTTGTCAAGAAACAAAATCTCACAAATTAACCAATTTTAGAGACACTTGTACCGTGGACACATGCACATGGACAGATCCTTAAAGAAGGTGGGATAATGGGCTCTTTTTTTTGTGTTTTGTTTTTTCACTTCACCGTCTAAAAGGAGTGAGTTGGTCTCCGTCCAGCCTGCTTGGTTCAGATTGCACTAACCTCTGTTCCCCACATGGAGGTGATGTTTCGTTCTCCGTCTCTCCGCCACTGGAGAGGCAATAATAAACTGCTCAGAAGGTGGTGACTTTTGCACAGGAACAGAAAGTCTATTTTTTAATCTTATGCAACAAGGGTCAGATTCTTTCACTGCAAGCGAAATTACAGTTGTGTCATGTCTGTTTGTCCTTGCGTGTTTTGTGTGTTTTCAGTTTCCTCAGCATGCGTGCTTGTTCCAAAAACACTGAAACTTTGTGCCACTGGGAACCAGTACAGTCCGTACTCTGTCAGTGCAGTCCAAGATGATGTTGAGTACATAACTGGAAAAATATGTTGTGCAGCCTTCGCAGTGGCTTTAAATATTACGTGTAAGATTAACAGCTTCAGGTATTTAATTTCCTTTGACTTTTAGATGCCATTTATAAGGCTGGATACTGACGTTGATCTCCTGATTTTAATTCTTCATTATTCAGCTGCATCACATCTTGAGAACCTAAATTCTTACATCCTATAAAACTGTAAAATTAAGTAAAGTGCATCTGATAGGCTAAATTGTAAAACACAATGAAGGGGCAGCATTATTGTGCGTAACTTAAAAATAAAAGCATTGTAACTTTGAGCACACGCAGGACTGAATGTCTGATCTCATTCTCGTTAGCACTGTTTGTGCTGAGATGGCATCAGCCTGATATCTGAAGACAGCTGGCTAGCTTACATTAGCAACCCGAGAGACTGACTGGATTAAGTAAATTCATGATTTACATGCCTCCATAACTTGTAGCCAGAGATAACATCTCATCTTGTCATCAAACACAAACCAAGGGCTCAGATCAGTGTGCAGTCTTCTTTTTTTTCAGTCTGTCCCCCTCATGATTATAGTCGTGACTCAATGTGGCTTTATAAAACAAGATTCATGTGCACATTGTGACAACTCGATTTCCAAGGTTTAAACACTTTACACTCTATGCAGCTCTGACTGAAACCACTTAGAAAAATTAACCACTGCAGCCACGCAAAACTGAGAATAACGAGAAAAAACAAAAAGCGAAGATTGATTTCCAGTGAAATCTGAAGCTGTTGAAAGTCTTTTTATTTCCAGGCGAGTAACTACAAAAACACTGCTCAGTGCCATTAATTGTATCGTGTTTGGTTAGGTTCCTGTTCACCCAATTTAAAGAAATGATTTATGCATTAGAATAGCTCCATTCAAAAACACATTTTAAATCCATTAAACTGCTCTTGAAGAATGATTGTGAGGGCTTTGCCAGCTTTGGACTTAAATCAGCTGCTAAACGTGGTGAATAACTCAAGTTGGAGGTTTTGTAGCTTTCTGTTTTTACTTTGGTGAAGATGGGTACTTTTGCATTTAATAAATGTGTTTGAAACCTGGAAAATCAAATGCTAAAAATGATTTTATTTTGATTCACAGTTCTGGCTTTTGATTGCATCGAAGGGTTGGAGAGAAATTACTCAGACAGCAGATAAACTGTTGTGCAACTTTTTATAATGTCAGCATAGTGGACACAGTGTTACAACAAAAAAGAGCTGCAGCCTGTGGATGTGAGCTAAGGTGGTTTACTTAAGCATTTATTAATTTACCCAATGATAAAGCCAGTGAGTGCAGCGTCGCCCTGCTGTTGTTCCCAGCCTTTCTTAATTTAATGAAATGTCTGCTGTAATTGCACTTGTAGGATTAATCTAGATCAGAGTATGTGTTGAAGATCGTCATTCTAAGAGCGAACCTTATTATAGATGTCATTTGGAATGAGGAGCCTTGTTTTGGTTGTCTTACACTGGACTCAGCATACATTTCTGTCAGTAGCGTTTCAAGATTGATCCAAACCAAATACTGAAGTCATTTTTAATCTAAAATGTTGTCTGAGCAATACTGTAAGCAAGGTAAGTATACATTTTAATCTTGAACATAATATTGAAGCTTAATTCAGCCATTAAATCACTTTCAAACATCTTTACGAAGTGTCATATGTGGATGTGGAGCTCAGAGCAGCGCATTAACTCTGCAAAATGTGCCCCTCTATGCCGCTCTGCACTTGTTTTATCAGTGCGGTAAAGATCAAGCCAAAAAATACATTCAATTGGTTATGATGGCTGTTTGTGTAAAACTGCTCTTTGGTTTCTTAATTACGTCCCACGAACCTCATTGGAAAGGGTTTTAGCCAGGAAATGTTATTAAAATTTCAAGGTATATAGTAAAGTTAATATTCATCTAGGTTCCCTCAGTTATACTGACGTATACCAGTACATGTGTGTAAAGATGTAAATGCTGTTTTGTAGGAGAGTGTAAAGTAACTTACTGGAAGACTTGATAGATATTTGAGGCAAGAGAAACATCATGGAGCTGTGATGTAAGAGAGGAAATGTCATTTTCTTGTTTTGTTTTTTAAATTCTGTTTTACAATCAGAGGCACCTGTGTACATATGATCTCTTTCTGTAACTAAAATGATTTAGATACCCTTTGTCTTGACTGTATATTTTATTGAAAAATAAATTTACAGAAGCTGCAAAAAGACCCAAACATTTGGAGCTTTTTTTAACAGAATACCACCTCCAGTATTCTGTTACAGTCCTGTCATTAAAAATTAATCTTTACTGCTGCCAGAGGACTTAGGAGTGTAAGTAGCAGTCAGGAGGAAAGACATCAGCAGTGAAGTAAACTAAAGAAGCAATTGCTGCTGCCCATCAGTCTGCAAAAGGTTAAAAAGCCACTTGCAAACAATTTAAAGTCCATCATTCTACAGTGAGAAAGATTATTCACCTTCCCACGAATGGGCGTCCCAGCAGATTCAACCAAAGTAACTGTGTGATATGTTCTGACTCAGACTCTACAGGCCTTAGTTAACATCTTAATTTTTTAAGTCCATGACCCCACAGTTAGAAAAAGACTAATCAGACTTCTGAAACAATGTCTTTTGGATAGACCAGATCGAAGTGGACATGTTTGGCTATAATGCACAGCACCACGTGAAATCCAACCACAGCATACCCATACCTACTGCCAAGCACGGTGGTGGAGGGATGGTGATTTGGGCTTGTTTTGCAGCCACGGAATCCAAGACCAAAGTATTCTAGAGTCAAATGTCAGATTTTGGTTTTGCACGGACAATGATGTGAAGCACAGCAACAAACCTGTGAAAGAAATACTGAAAAAAAGAGAAAAACCCATCCATTAATGAGAGCGTCGCAGATTTCGAAATACTTTGGCAGGACCTTGAGAGAGCTGTGCATAAAACCAAACCATTGGTGAACTGAAGCGAGGTTGTATTGAAGAGTGGGACAAAATTCCTCTGCAACAATGTGAGAGTCACACAAAAAATGATTTCTTTAGATTATCTAAAGATGGTTGTACAAGCTCTTGGATCATCAAGTGTACTTCAGTTTCACGGGACAGCACAGTCTTATTCACAAGACTATATATATGAATTTGCAGCTTGTCTGGAGTACTGCATTTACTGCTTTCTTTGTGAGCCATGAAAATGTGGTGTTGAGCCCAGATTTGAAATCCAGTGACCCTGAAAGTGAAATGGCAAACCAGAATTGTGCCTTCACTCATTTTATTGTTTACAACTGAGCTTTTCCTACAGTGACTGTTTCCCAGTGTGGAGGGGTGTAGTTCCTGCAGAACTCAGGCAGAGGAGGCCAGAGCACTCAGAAAATATGTGCTGCATCTCAGCAGTATTAACATTTATGATATGTAAAGCTTAAGTGAGTTTTGTGTGTGTGTGTGTGTTAATATGGTAAATATGTAGCCCAAGGATGACACACATTCATTGTGTAGGAAATTTGCATTTAAATTCTTCATGCGAAGCTTTAAATAAACTCCCTGTTAAAAGCAGATTCAAAGTTGAGCTTCCCAAAATAAGAAAAGAACGTGACATTTCACTTACCTGGACCATGATTCAGGGATGTGAATAGTTTTGGTTTTATTGCCCAGGCACCCTTACCATGGATCATCTACACTTGTAACTAACAGCAGCCTTCGTTACATGCATATGAAATCAGTCACTGACATTTGTGTGTGCTTGTGTGGTTTCTTCTGTTCTTTTATTTCATGATAAAATAAAACATTTCTTTTTGAACCAGCCCTTTAACATGACGCATTTCTTGAAATACAAGGGGAGCCAGAGTATTTTGGGCCTTCTCTGGCCATACACACATGCACTGACAAACCTCAAAGCAGTTTTACAAACGTTACCAGTGCGTGGCGAGGTTGGATGACTTTCTGGCTTATTAGACATTTCTCTTTAAATCCAACTAGTCAGTGTAACCTGAATCTGTTGGCACAACCAGTGGTAGGTCTTCACCCTCAGCTCTGGTCATAGTTTGTCCTTTTCTTAATGATGCACCATTCAGATCACACACTTGGTTAACCGTCTGCACCTGGCAGGGTTTGGATGTTTTGCTCAAGGGCACTTCAGAAGGGCTCACACGTGTGGTTTTGATGCAGTCCTCCAAGAGGAAGGCTGTTCAGTTCAAAATTTAAGGTTCCAGGCTTAGGCTTCCAACCACCAGCAACAGCAAAACGGTGATGCTTGGGGCACTCGGGGGATTGGTACCCTTATCTGTCGATGCTTCCAGTGAAGGTGCTGGAATTCCAGTACCAGCTGTGCTACTCCCACTAAATTCTGTCACAGAGGCACGTTTTGTTGCGGCAGTTGTTGTAGTCTCTGTTACACCTCTAGAATTTGCTTCCACTGTTCCTCCAAGAGACACTCCATCTTTGGGAGACTGCAGGTCTAAGACATCCTGGTCTTCTGTCTTATACCACTGGCACTGGAAGTCTTTCTTCCAGGTTTCAGCTGGATCCGGTTCAGCTGTCTTAGTGTCTGTGTCCGGCAGATCCGTGGCTTTTGCTGCCTCCACCTGAGACTGATGGCAGAAAATTATGTTATCAGTAACAAACACTACTATATTTACTCTCACAAGAAATATTGCAGTTTTTTGCAGTATTGGTCTAAAGTTTTCTGCACTTTAAGAACTACTCAATAGATCAGACAATAGATTTGAAGGCATTTCCAAGTCTCAACCTTTTACTTGATAGCTTTTGACTGAAACTGTCAAGCAGTGACCAAATCAACAATTTGCTACATTTTTAAAAAGAAGCCAATGCCCAAGCCAGCTCAGCAACGCCTTAAAAATTATGAAGCCAACTGAAAACGATGATGGCAGAATTACTTCCCAGGTTAAGTAAGACTCCTTCACAATATCTAATGAAGTAAGGGACACTCTTGAGGAGGTAGATACATCATTGTGAAGGCCCACTCAAGAGACACCTTCACGAATGCACAAACCACTGGTTGCACTCAAGACCAGAAGGCTCAGGTCAGACTTTGCCAAGAACCATTTAAAGGGTTTGCCTATTTCTTTTTCCCCCCCCAGAAGCATGCAGACTCAGATGAAACTAACAAACCTTGACACCTTCTCCACACTTTTCTCTTCCCAATGATGGAAAGAGAAAAGTGTGGAGAAGGAGAGAAACTGATCAGACAGCGCATCATAGTGCAAATAGACAATGACCCATAGCGTCCTGCAAAATCAACCCAAGAGTTTCAAAAGGCAAAGAAATGGGACATTCTTTAAGCAACAAGTCAGTCAACTGATCTCAAGCCAACAGAGCGTGATTTTCAGCGACGGAGGAATAAACTGAATACAGACAGTCTAAAACAAGCAGCAGTGGAAGATGACTGCAATAAAAAGATAACAGCATCTCAAGGGAGGAATCCCAGCGCTGGGTAATGTACATGGATTTTAGTATTCAGAATCCAACTGATTTTCATCCAAGTGTTAAAAACAATCATTAATATAATATTTAAAATTACATTAGTCTACCCTTTTGATTTAGATCCTCTGAAAATGAGGGCTATACATAAAAACAGCTGTGCTTCATATTAATGAAGTTAATGCAAAAATTTTCGAAAACCCTTGAACTAAAGCTGAAAGTCTACACTTCAATCACGTGTTGATTGTTTGATTTAAAATCCAATGTTATAGTGAGCAGAGGAAAAACTACAAAAAACCTAACTGTGTGTACTGAGTGTTGTGAAATCCTGATCTAGTCATTTACAGAGAAATAACACGGTGTTCCTGCTGTGGAGGATCAGACTCCACTGCATCCACCTCTTTTGCATCTTAGCTGCCGTCTTCTTGTCTGTTGAACACAGAATATCCTCAAGCGATCAAACTCTCTGCTGTTTTTGTTCCCTGTGAGATTAGTTTATATTCCCCCTGATAAAGCATACCTGGTTTTCCTTCAATTTTTCTTCTTCAAAATTAGCTTTTATGTTTCCAACTTTTCAAACATGCAGCAGGTTGGGAGCGTGCATCACTGCGTCCCTGTAAACTACAGTAAGCAGACTTTGTGAATCAGTTGTAGAAATCCTAGGTTTTATTATATAGCCTCTGGTACCACAATGTGTTTGTCAGCTCTTCCACAAGCATGATTTCACTGCGACTACTACATAGTTCATTCCTGACATGCAGGAAGCTGAAGTTTAAATGGCTTTAAATAGTATTTTCTCACCTTTTCAGCCACTGTGGATGGAGGTGGGAGATGGAGATAGGCAGAGCTTTCTGGATTTTGACGGACACATCTACCTCTTCCTTGACAAAGCGAGGCTGAGCAGAGTCGAGCTGCTGTGGTAACGTTGATGGAGTAGGGTCCCAGGACCTTACGGACAAACTCAGCCAGTTCCTGGCACTCTCTCTGGGAAAAGAGAGGCAGTTTGATGTAAACAGGAAAATGGACGAAACTCTCTGAAAGTTTCCTTTATGAAGTTAAGTGTTGTAGCAGACCACAAAAGTTGAAATGCAAACACAAAAATATATGGGAGGTGAGGAGACCAGTTGCCGGACTTTTGAGAGAGGAATGTTGTCCTATTCGTGTCTGATTTAGGATTGTAGCTCCCATCACTAATGCACCCCCATACTTTGATATACCTTTATTAGTCCCACATTAGTCTTCCAGCCAACCCAGGTGGCCTTGCATAGAATGGCAAGAACAGTCTAAACACAGTCCATTATCAGGGTGTTGTTGTAACCGGAAGGTCGCCGGTTCGTTGCCGGGCTCTTTGTCCTGGTCGTTGTGTCCTTGGGCAAGACACTTTACCCTACCGCCTACTGGTGTTGGCCAGAGGGGCCGATGGCGCGATATGGCAGCCTCGCTTCTGTCAGTCTGCCCCAGGGCAGCTGTGGCTACAACCGTAGCTTGCCTCCACCAGTGTGTGAATGTGAATGAATAGTGGCATTGTAAAGCGCTTTGGGTGCCTTGAAAAGCGCTATATAAATCCAATCCATTATTATTATTATTATTCAGCTCCAGCCTTGAGACCGCAGCTGGCGCCAAAGGGGTATCCGCATGAAGTGATGGTGGTTTTTACATGAGAATTTCAAAGCTGTTCTAACAGTCCGACACTGGTCTCTCAATCTCCCGTTGGAGAGCCGTGAGCTTCTCCATGATGTTATCAAACTTACGCTCCGTGATGTTGTCATTCTTGTGCTCAAAGAGCCGATTTCTGAGAACTCACGACCGCAGTGAGCTTCTCCAAGATGTGATCCAGTTTACACTCAGAGATCTTATTCTGAGTATTCACGGCAGCCGTAAGCTTCTCCAAGATCTTATCCGTGCTGCACTCAATGAGCCCATTTTGAGAAACTCACGCCTCGTCCCATCGTTTCAGTCCCAGCGGGCAGCCTTGTGGGGGTTTGAACAGCTGGTTCCGGTTTCTTAATTCTTCAATAAGTCAGGGCCAAGCCAGCTCTGATCAGCCAGAACCCTGTTACCATGGTTCCGAATAGGTAGATATCTTCAGCACTCAGGCTCACCCAAGCCCAAACTTCTCGTTGAGAAAGGGCTGTCAATTGCATTCAGGGACCAGTTGATCAAATCCATAATTCTCTTTTAGGTTTTAGAGAACGGACTGTGAGAGAGTGTTCCAGGGAAAAGTAATACAAAAAAACACGAGACTAGACAAGGACACAAGAGGATAAGCAGGGAAGCTAAGGGAGGAGAGGAGAGGAGAAAAGTGCGACCGCCTTCGTCAAGAGCAAGAGCAGAATTTTGACACCATCAGGGATGCAGAGGGATCCCTCAGTCCATTTTAAATGAGCTTTGGCCCAGAGAGGATATGTGGATTGTGCTCACATATCTCTTTAACCTGGATTTGTAGAGGGCAGGGTGAGCTGTGTTCACGGACGATGATTTCTGGAAGTGTTCTTGAGCCCATGCGCTGATTTCCATGACAGAATCGAGCCTGTTTGTAATTCAGGGTTGTGTGAGGGCCCAAATATTATGACCATCCAGTACTGCTGTTTGGTCTTGTCCCTTCGACCCACACATTTCTCAAAGTTTTTGGACTCTTTTTGACGATATTATGTATTGTAGATGATTCGATACTAAAATTCTTCACAGTTTTACACTGTGGAATGTTTTCCACCTCTCTAAGACCTAAGATGCTCTTTTTATACCCAATCACGTTACTGACCTGTGGCCTTTTCTAGACATTTGCTGCCCTCACCCCTGCCATCACATTTAAACAGAGCCAATATTTTTTTTTAAATTTCCACAGTTTGACATATTTTTATGTTCTACTGAAGGGAAATATGGGTTTATGAAATGTGCAAATCATTGTTTTCTGTTTATTTATATTTCACACAGTGTCCCACATTTTTCAGAAGTAATAAGGGTGCAGAGCATGCTGTGGTCTTTATGCACAGTGTGTACCTCTGTTTTAGTCTCACTTCTCTCCCACATGACAACTCCTGCTGTTCCCATGGCAGCACTTTCTCCTATGCTGCTGACCAGATCAGCCTGTAACAAAAAGACAAAGAAAATGTGCAATAAATTAAGCCACGAAAGGTCAATACAATGGCTTTGTAATATTCAGTGTATATTACAGTGGAAGTATCTGTTTATTAAGCCATGAATCATAATCCCATAAGGAAGCTGTGAAGCAACAGAAAAACACATTTTCTGAGATTACATTTTAAACTGGAATATGTTACTGGAATTAACTTCTGCACTTCATCTGTTTATGTTTTGCTTGACTATTTAAGTAAAATATGTTTGCTGTGCACTACAAGTGTATATAATTGTATCTTATGTCTTACCTGTGATAAAAAAGTGTTAGTTGAGGCATAAACACTCTTAACAAGAGGAAATACTGGAAGGTCAAACTCTGCCCCGCTTGCAGAAGATATTCGTAGTGCTTCCTTTATTTGACTGGATAAAAAAAGCCTGGCTCCAGGTGTCCCACTCTATAAAAAAGCAAACATAATGCACACACTTTTAACAGAAATAAACGGTGTCATCTTGTGGTGATCAAAGCTCCTTTTCCAGGTTTCTTCTTGACATGGACACGTGTTTACGGTGCAGCGTTTTAGAATTGAAACTGGTTGGTCTTTGTCAAATGCAAAAACACTCCGTTTTTTTTTT